AAGTCACAATAAGAAGTTTTAGAAAGAAAAGATTTTTGGGGAGTATCCTTTATTCTGAGAAGGAGTCATCGTCCAGGCCTAGGGTCCTGACCAAGACGTTGACTTCCTGAAACTATTTGTGCCAAAGTAGGGAGCACACAAGCCGAGGGTCTCGTTGCTGAGAATTTACTTAGCCATGCTAAGGTATGANTGTCATGTCTTACATTTAAGGATACCAGTATGAGTATGTATAAAAGATTTAGACTTGAAAAGTCACAATAAGAAGTTTTAGAAAGAAAAGATTTTTGGGGAGTATCCTTTATTCTGAGAAGGAGTCATCGTCCAGGCCTAGGGTCCTGACCAAGACGTTGACTTCCTGAAACTATTTGTGCCAAAGTAGGGAGCACACAAGCCGAGGGTCTCGTTGCTGAGAATTTACTTAGCCATGCTAAGGTATGAGACATGAGCGCTGAGAACCATGAAGCGAGTGGCACCTCGTGGATTGGGCCTATTCGATCAGGTTGGGATCGAACTCGTGCCGATCACACGGTGACTGAGACAGAATTAAGTTAGGATAGTTGGAACTCCCAAAGTATAAAGTGAAGTATTTTTTTTATAAGTAAGAAAAAGAAAAGAATTTCTTTTAGAATATTCATGAACTGCTATTATGCAATTATTTTAGAATTATTCTTATAAGCTTTATGTTTTACATGCATTTAGAACCTTTGCTCATAATGTATATGTTATTAAAGTTTCACTCCCTGTTGTTGAGACTCACTGAGTACAATGGATGGTACTGACGTTCTCTTTTGGGAACTTATGTTGGTCTGCGGTACAACGTAGGAACTGGATTTGCAGGCGAGCAGGCAACGAGTTAGGATTTCCTTCTCTTCCAGTGCTATTGGTGAGCTCCGCTTTTGTTCGTGGAGTATTCCTTAGAGTGATCTTTATTTAGTTATTTCTTTGTTACTTAGAGAACTGACCAGGAAATCTCATGTCCTGATCAGTGCGTCAGTTTATCAGTAGAGGCTTCATAGACATAGTCGTTGGGTTAAGATTCAGATATTTTTGATAATAACTTAGCAGCATTTTATTGATTACTACGAATAAAGTTTTGAAGTTGGTTTATTTTAGATATTTAAATTATTTAAAAGTATTTGGTTACATTAGTGCCTTGTGGCATATAAAGTTTGAGATTATAATAGATTTAATAAGCAGAGTGAGATTATAGTAGATTTGATAAGTAGAAATGATCTGCTCGGTCATGTTTAGTGATCGAGTGCCGGTCCCGGCTTATTCAGAAAATGGGTCGTGACAAATAAGAACTCCAAAATTTATCTTAATTTATATACAATTTTTGATGATTTACAATAAGTGCAGAACCTTCGATTTCTCCTAGAAATGAATGTCATTATGTCACTCACATCACAAAATACATCAGTCGACAATAACAAGCTATCTGCCAACTTACGGTCACTACCAATAATCTAATCAGTTATAGTCCTGCTTCTGTAAAATCGACAGAAAACCATGAACAATAAAAAACTTGCTGCACTTGACAAAGCCAGAAACCAATAATAGTTGTCGAAACGGGCTTTTCTCATGTCATCAGAGAACCAATTCTGCTTTGCTCCTCTTGTACTTGTCAAATTTTCGATCACGGATATAAGGAATGAGCTGAAAAAACTACCACACCCAAAAACACTAGTATATAGAGCAATGCCTAAAGTTCTCATATTTGTCGGAACTTCAGAATAAAAGAACTCTTGCATACCAACAACTGTAAATATATCCGAAATTCCCAACAGAATGTATTGAGGGAGCAACCAAAATATACTCATTGGCACAGTTTCTGAAGAAGTTACCAAATTTCTGCTGATATCAAGTCTTTTTCTTTCAGTAACAGCTGCAATTATCATTGCTATTACTGAAAGAAACATCCCTATTCCCATTCTCTGCATCACAGTGATACCCTTTTCGTTTCGTGTGAAAACACGAACGAACGGAATGAAGAACGTGTCGTACAGTGGCATAAGCAGAATTATAGATATGGTGATTGAACTCTGAAGCGCAGCTGGTGGAATTCGGAAATTGTTTCCTATGTTTCTCTTCATTGTCACACCTTGCTTAGTAAAGAATGTTGCAGGCTGTTGAAAAATCACTGCAAACATCAGAAGTAGAGTCCACACTGGCATTAGAGGCAATACCACTTTTAGAATTTTAACAAAATTGATCCCATTCTCCGATTTTCTGTCCGCACCATCTTTGCTCCCTGAATCTTGTTGGCAGAGCGGTCTATCTTCGAGTCTATGAACCAAAAATCAGCCATAAGGAGCGTCACTCGCAGTGGCGGAGCCAGAATTTTCGTTAAGGGGTGTCAAAATATATAAAAGTAAACATACCAGG